ATTGGCTACTTTGCCTGCCTTCTGTTTACATTTGGGAGCATGGCTTTATCCACTGAAGATTAACAAATGATTCTGGCAATCAAGGCAACTTAGAGGTGACTTTCCTTTCCTTCTTCCCTTCACATTCAGCCATAACTGTCATAGTGGTTCTCAAGTATGGGTCCTACCTACATCTGCTTTCTGCCTCCTTCCTACAGCCCCGACCTCGAAAGTATAGTTCTCTTCTGGAATAGCCTTAGAACCACCTCTGTGTTCCTTTATTTCTCTCTTTCTGATGTGCTGTGTCAAAGATACACAAAGCCCAGGGGCGCCTGGCTGGCTCAGTCAGTAGAACATGTGACTCTTGATCTCAGGGTCTTGAGTTCAAGCTCCATGTTGGATGTAGAGCCTACTTTAAGAAAAAGATAAAGCCAGACACTAGGTGAAGTGGTAAGGGCAGATTTTAATCAGTAATACATTATTGCACTAGGGAAAGAGTCCAGTGTGAACTGAACTCAACCAAGGTGGCCTGTGAAGGAATAGGGAGCTCCGTAGAGTCAGGGAAGTGAAGAATGACAAAAAGTGGGACGAAGGGGTTGGTCTGTGTGAAGCTCATCGGGGCTTGCTAATTAGAGCTTACTACCCTCCTGCAGAGGCTGGGAATCTGGGGCCCTATCTTCAGAGTTGGTTGGAACAAACAGTGAATTCTTTTGGCAGCCTTGAGTTTTCTCAGGCAGGCACTTTAAGGGAGTCCAGCATCATCCTTGGAAGGCGGCCTTGAGTTGTTATAAACTGTATCAGTGTTTGTTCAAGGTTGAGGCCTCGTTGAGGGGAGGGCTCAGAGGGGCCTGGCTGGAGAAGCCGTGTCACCTGGCAAACATTCGAGCTGATAGTCCAGGCATTCTCCTCTCTTTTCAGGCCCCAAGTCACAGAGGGCTGGGTCTCTGACTTCATGATGATGGTGGCCAGCGGCCTTGTCCACAAGCCAAACTTGTCTTCTCTTGTAGGACAAGGGGGTTTTCCTTCTCCTTGGTGCTACCCTTAGAGCTGAAATGACCCTCTGTGCTGATCCCTGGGGGAGACCGTATCCTTTGGGAATGCTTCGGGTGGAGGATTCCTTCAGGAAGAGCCTCACCTTCTGGGACTGCTCCATGCAAAAGCAAATTCTTTTTTTTTTTTTTTTAAGATTTTATTTTATTTATTTGAGAGAGAGGGAGAGAGAGCACAAGAGGGGGTAGGGTCAGAGGGAGAAGCAGGCTCCCTGCTGAGCAGGGAGCCCGATGCGGGACTCGATCCCGGGACTCTGGGATCATGACCTGAGCCAAAAGCAGTTGCTTAAACAACTGAGCCACCCAGGCACCCGCAAAAGCAAATTCTTCCAAGACACCTGTCACCGTAGATCAGGCCTGCTTTTGGAGTTTGAATAAATGGAGTTGTGCAGATTTACTCTTTCTTTCCTGGATTTTCCCTGCTCAGATGAGCGTTTGTGAGATTTATGCATATTGTTGTGTGTTGAAATGGACCCCAACACGTGCCCTGGGGGCCACAGGAACCTGGCATCAGGGGCAGGACTGCCGATGGTGACGCATCATCCCCACAGCTGCTCCTCTGGCCCTTCTGCAAAGCCAGTCTCTGCCCCTCTTTACAGATTATGATTCTAAAACTAACACATACTTGTTTAAAAAGCCCAAAACTTGGGCGCCTGGGTGGCTCAGTTGGTTAAGCGACTGCCTTCGGCTCAGGTCATGATCCTGGAGTCCC